ATAGACATGAACATCTTGGACATCGAGAGGAGTACAATTATCAGTACATTTTTATTCTGGAAGTGAACTAATCCTTTAATCTGGATAAATTTAAAAACATATTTCTCTTTACATTTTTGCCTTTCGTTCCACATTCAGGCTGTTTTTGTATAGTGAAAACTGACCTTTATGTAAGGTTCTACCGGCATTGTTGTGCCTGCTATTCACTTTCATAGAGTTACTTAACATAAATGTTCCCTTGTGCAATCTTCTTGTTATGTTCCACTAAGGACAGAATATGTACTTGCAATTGCTGTCCTCTGACAAAACAGCTGACAGTTGCATTTTAGATCATTCATTAAATGGCTATTTTAAGTGTAACCTGCATGCACCAGTGAGAGGTGGGAAATTTTGGATACAATGATTGTACGAAGAATAGCATGATAATTGTATCTTATTATATCTGGTCTCTCTGTATCTTCTCAGTGAGTGTAAATGACATTTTAAGCCCGCGCAGCAAGGTGATTTAAGGGTTTACATACAGTCATGGCTAAAAATATCGGCACCCTTGGTAAATATGATCAAAGAAAGCTGTGAAAATTAATCTGCATTGTTAATCCTTTTGAACTTTTATTTAAAAAATTCACAAAAATCTAACCTTTCATTGGATAATAAGAATTTAAAATGGGGGGAAATATCATTATGAAATAAATGGTTTTCTCTTTCAATTGTGGACGTACCCTGACGTCATGCATCCCAAACATCCACTAAAAAATGATCCTGGAACAAAATGGTTACAAGTCATTGCAAAAGTGGCTCAGATAAATGAACTTCTGAGGAAAGGTCAAAGACATTTGATTGCATATACTTTTGTTATTAGTTTTATATGCACTGACATTCAGGCATTAGGTGTCCAAATACTTTTTGAGGTCACCACAGTCTGGATTTAGTTTAAAGTGTCATCATGAAGTAAGATTCTTTTTGTGCTCTCTTTGCAAAGCAATAATTAGATTTTCCAAAACACTACTAAGTATTATTTTTTGGTAAAAAAACAAAACAAAAAAAAAAAGAATCTAGAAATAACAGAAGCTTCTGGCTGGTTAAAATGTTTCAGTTTGGTCCTTTTTGCATGTGTGAGAAATTGTGTTTGAGAAACCGTGCAGCTGAGTCATTCATCCATAGCCCGTCCTGTGAAGACAGAAGTCATTTCTGAAAGGGCCAGTAATGGGCTGAGGGACAGTTATCATGGGCTGGGTGGTGTTGAGCAATGCCTGTTCTCACCCACAACAAGCTGGCTATTGTGCAACAGCTGCTCAGTCACCACGCAAACAATAGCTGACTCTGTGACCCATTGTCACCCATCTATTGGCCCGTCATGTGTTGAGACTGATAAGAATGAAGGCGAGCAAAAATAGTAATGCATACAACACCCATATTCATGGATGATAGAAAAAGAAAATATTTTATCCATTTACTCATAGTCATACCCCTGCATAAAAGAGCAAGCAAAAATAGCAATGGATACAACACCCATATTCATGGATGATTGAAAAAGAAAATATTTTATCCATTTACTCATAGTCATACCCCTGCATAAAACAGCAATTTATTTCAATAGCTGGAATGTCCACAGGTAAATAAACAAAAAATAAGCCTTTCCATACAGCACAGAAAATAATCACAAAAACGCTTGCCAAAACAAAAATCCATTTATTTTCTCACAATGTCCTTTAGCATAGTATTGAGCAAAAAAGTTGTCAATAAAAAAAGATCCAAAATACATATTTCATATTCAGTGTGAAATAAATATCAGATGTTGTCACGCCATTGACCTTTGGTAAATAAATGAGCGAGGAAGCTGTTTTGACGTGACAAATAATATATTCTGCTGCCTCTGCAGAGGTGGCAGACAGTATTCCACACACACACACACAACTGTCGCACTGATAAAACAAGTGGTGCAATGCATGCTGAATGAAAGAAAATCTGAGAGGATTTTCCCAGTGTGAACACTTACAATGACATACAAAAAATTATGTGTGATCAGATGTGTTGACCGCTGTGGATTAAAGAAACAAACGCAATCATAATCAATACAGCATCAACATGCAGCGGAGTTATTTGCTGAATGGTTCATGGTAATGTCATTAAGCATTTGCACTTTTCATTCTACCTTTAAAAGTGTGTAGGCATTTGTGGTATTTTGAGTGAGCACAAACAAACCAAACCAAAGACAAAGATACGGGCCACTCTGGTGAAAATATAGTGTTACAGTGGTGTCCTAACAGTACGCTGTCTTATTAATCATTGATTTTGAGCACAAGGTATTCATTTCATTGGGCCTGTGGTTATGTTTACAGCTCTACAGACATAAGATCATATGAGAGATAGTCCCACCACCTACAGCAAAAATAAAAATAAGCAGCTTAAGTGAACATCTGACAAGTTAAAGGGATAATTTGAATAAAAATTAAAAATTAAAAAAAGAATAACACTCTTATGTCATTCCAAACCTGCACAGTGTTATTTTAGTATCACTGACTACATTTATATGTGCACCAAAAATGTGATTATTTCCAAGGTCCCACTTTATATTAGGTGGCCTTAACTACTATGTACTCACATAAAAAAACAAGTATAATATTGTGTTCATATTGTATTACAAAACACTTTTGCTGCTATTGAGGAGGGGTATGGGTAAGGTTAGGGACAGGTTTGGGGGTAGGAGTATGTTTAAGAGTGGGTTAAGGTATAAGGGATGGGTCAACAGTTTAACTATAAATGTAATTACAGAAATTAATTACAGATGTAATTACATTCAGGTATTTTTTTAAATATAAGTACAATGTAAAAACATGTATGTACACAATAAGGCCCAATCCCAATTCTATTTTATACCACTTCCCCTTGTCCCTTGAAACAGAGTGTCAAGGGGTAGGGGTGAAAATATTCCCCTAAGAATAAATAATCTATTGATAAACTAGTGCTTTCGGCTTATTTTTATTATTAAGAGATGAAGTCGGCGACACTGACTCGTCATCTCCACAGTAGAGGATGCGCCTGCATGCAAGTTTCATACGGATTAGCCTACATAATCTGAGAATATTAGTTTTTTTTTAGATTTGAATTGTTTCATTTGAAAGTAGACATTTCACTCTCTATAGACATGTTTTTCATGTCTGTAAGGCAAGTATACACGGAGTTTCGCGCTCAAGTTCACAGAGGCCGAGACGGCAGAAAGCGCATCTGGCAATATTTGAGAAAAGGGTTTAGCGATTTATAATTATTGGAGGGACTAGCCCCCCTCAATGTCTATGGTGGTTATCGCCCTGATCAGACATGAAAATATGTTATGGCACTATCGTGCAGTCTGTAATGTTATGACGTTAGCAAACTTTAGCGATTTTTCGCAAACATTTCTTTGAGTAACATGACCGTAAATATGAACTCACGATTGAAAGTAACGTAAAACAAATGATTACTTTTCGTTAAAATCTTAATTAATGCCCAAAAATGCTTACATTTATGTGTCTTTTTGTTCGCTCGGGCAGCCATGTTGCCGCTGAAGCCGGTTTACGCTGAGATAATTCATACCCCTTCGTTTGAAGTGTGGTCCCGAAAAATCTTCGTTTGAAGGGCTATCTGGCCCTTCCCCTACCCCTCCAACCAAAAGAGAATCGAGACACCCCTACCCCTTCACGTGAACGCGCGAAACGGAGGGGTAGGGAAAAGGGGAAGGGCTAAGGGGTAGAATTGGGATTGGGCCTAAGTGCACTGTATCAGATGATTAATTTAAATGTAAGTACATGGTAGTTAAGGCCACAATCAATTTGATCAAAGTATTGTGTTTACATTAGGGCTGCCCTTGACTAAAGATTTTTCTGGTCGACTAGTAGTCATTCATTTTATGATAATGAGCCTTTAATTGCCTACATAGCCTAATAATCGCTCAAGCGCACGCATAAAGCTTGCCACAGCACACCGGCAGAAGTAATGATGATGAATGTGTCAGGGAAAAACAGTAAGATTAAACTGCATTAACATTTAAATAATCTATTGATAAACACGGAGTATTTTAAGAGCAAGTGAGCACACCGGCGCCTCCATCTGTCATGCCGTGAACGCGCTGTTCAGCTTTCACACGCCGCACAGACACTTGAATAGCGCACATTTTTCTTGGTTAACATTAGATTGAGTGGCCATGTAAAGTTGCTACTACTTACATATTTCAGATGATAAGCCATTTGAGGTCGATGAATGATAGGCGAGCATTTGGATGTACTGTATTACCACAAAATCCAGCCGTTAACGATCTGTCCGTCACAGACTGCGTGACCTCACCACTTTCTGTGGATTTTTTTTTTACTGTGACTAATACAATTTTGGTCGACCACGCCTCTTCTCGTCGACTAAAAGTTAGTCAACTATTAGGGGGCAGCCTTAGTTTACATCAAGTGAAGTTTAATCACAATATTGTTTAAATCTCATATGAATGTGGATATAAATGTAGTCATAGATATACTATTATATATATATTTTTTTTTTTACTCATTTTGATTAAAATCAATTTAATTTAAATTTATTTTATTTTTATTATTTTATTTTTTATTTGAATTTTAGTTAGTAGTAGTAATTTTGCTCAGTGTTTTGTTCAGTTTTATTCATTTTTATAAATATATGTCTATATAGTTTTAAGTTTTAGTTTATAGAGTTTTAGTTATTTTAGTACTTCAACTTAAAATAGCTGAAATAAAATGTTTTTATTTTATTTTATTTCAGTTAATGTTTTACTTTATTTCCAGTAATGCATTTTTTTATGGTTATAGTTCTAAATTTAGTTTATGCTAATAACCCTGAACATGTCTTTTTTTTCTTTTGTGGAATATAAAATATGTTATTTTAATTGTTTCAACCACTTTTGTCCACACAATGAAAGTAAATGGGGTCCAAAACAATAATAACATTAAATCATACTTACTTTTATGGTATGAATGGATTCTTTTGTTTAAGTAAAATAAATAATTGCATACAGGCTTGGAACGACATGAGGGTGAAAATATCTTTTTAAATATACTGTAACATATATAGGTAGATTCTAGGACGTTTCTGTAACACGACTTTAGGATTATAATCCAAAATCGATTGTTTCATAGCGGTTTCTCAGTAACTTTGCGGTCTGACTTCCTTGTTTAATTTGTAAAACCTGATTTCAGATAAAAGCAATAGCAGTCCAACTGCTGTGTGAAAAGCAGTAGCTGTCTCGCAGATGAAAAAGGACAGACAGCACACACAACATACACAGGTGCTGTCCTCTCTCAGTTGGTCCTCAGTTGATAATCTGTCAAAAATGTTCAAGCAAAGTCAGAAAGTACAACTAATAAACTGTATATATAAAATAACGAGTGCATGAAAATTTAACTGAAGGCATTTGAATATGTTATTGACATTTGGGTGTTTGGATATATCTGAAGAAATCCATTGTGGTTTAAGATCTGATGTCTGCTTTGCAATTCTTATGAATAAGTGAACAGGGCTGAGGGATTAGAGTGACTCTCTCTCCTCTGGTGTCGCTGATGCAAATGGAAAACTGATAGTCTACACTATTTCAAACTGTGTGTGTGTGTAGCAGACAGAGTAAGGCTCATGTTCACTGAACTTTTAATGCATGCTGAAGGTAAACTTTATATCAGAATGATATCTGAGTAAGCGTGAGGGAATTTCTGAATATGTCTCACCTCCACTCTGAGTAATATATCGCACCCACGGTAATGCCTGATATCCGCTCTTCTCGATAATCTTCAAGTATCGCACCTGTGTTTGTTACCACACACAAGCAAAATGGATTACAAAAATCGAATCCACTGCATCATGACCATTATCAAAGACTATTTTGAGGCGAATATGTGTTTTGCCGCACCTGAATGCCTGACACTGTGAAGTAAGGAATCTCAAACTTCACTGTGATTGGTCGTTTGGCCTCGAGTACATCACTTTCCACACTTGGCAGTCCAAAATGAGCTCGCATCATGAACTCTTTCCCGCCCTTCAACAAGTAAAGACACATCATTAGTTTTTGACACATCTAACGGTCTAATTAACACTGCAACAATCATCACTTCAGTCGTAAGTCCTAATTAACAGTTCAGTTCTAAATGAGTCTTGTGAGTCATATTCCTAAGTGGGGGATACAAACTTTCCCGTCTCTACAAGGCTTGCAACAGCACAAAACTCCAGAACCGATTCACGGCCTTTCAAGCCTGAAACGCCCATAACATCATCAGGATTGGAAACTTGGCAGTCCAAAATGAGCTCGCATCATGAACTCTTTCCCGCCCTTCAACAAGACACATCATTAGTTTTTGACACATCTAACGGTCTAATTAACACTGCAACAATCATCACTTCAGTCGTAAGTCCTAATTAACAGTTCAGTTCTAAATGAGTCTTGTGAGTCATATTCCTAAGTGGGTGATACAAACTTTCCCGTCTCTACAAGGCTTGCAACAGCACAAAACTCCAGAACCGATTCACGGCCTTTCAAGCCTGAAACGCCCATAACATCATCAGGATTGGAAAAACATTCTTGACTAAATGTCTATATTCTTAGATTTAGAATTTTATTTATTTTTTTAAAGCTGGTTTTGCCACTAACTATACGTAATAATAAGGCATGGAATTATAAGTTCAGTACGTCTCGGCTTGTACTATTTTTGATGTCCTATTTAAGACAAAATAAATAAAAGTTTCTTTTTTGGCAAACACTTTATTCTCTACATTCTGTATACATGCACCTTTGGCAAACTCTTTAGATTTTATATTTTGGATACATGCTCCTTTGGAAACACATAATTCTTCACATAATTGCTTCTTTGGCAAACACTTTATTTTGTATATTTTGCATACAAGCTCTATACCATTTTCATGGGCTTTTGCCTTTAATTGTAGAGAAAAAGGGAAAGAAATAAACAAAAATAAACAAAATAAATAAATTAAAAACAAGACATAAAAGAAAAATAAAATTACTAAAATAAATAAATAATTAAAATGTATACAACAAACATTCACAAGCAATACATAAACTGAAAAAATAAAACTAATAAAATAAAAACAAAATAAATAAAAATACAGTGAACATACAACAAGAACACCACCAAAATTGCAATAAATATTTAAACTGTAAATATTCTATTATTTTATTGCCACATTTATGTTGTCTCTGTGAAATCAGCAACAATTTGGTTGATTTGTTGTTGTTTTTTTATTTAAAAATAGGATTTTCAGAAATCTGAATGTTAGTTATTTGCTACAACGATCTCAAACATCTTAAGCATGTATGGTACGTACAGGGAAGGACTTGATGTTCCATTCTACAGCACTCTTCTCAGGAACCCATTTAGCCTGGCCCGTGGTGGTCTTAAATTTGGGGGAGTCAGCGTCACTGGGAACAGGAACTAAGATGGACACATTGTTGGCAGTGGAGCGGCTCTTGAACTGACTGCGGGCCTGGAGAACAGATGGAGGAACTATAGCACAACTTCACACACCAAGTAAAACTTCCAAAGCTACACTTTCAGAAACTAAAGTTTTAGTATGGTAAGGGCAATAGGACAAAGCATGTTTATGTCAGAATCTGACAAGTCTTTGGACACAGCTCAGGTAAACTTCGAGCCATTCCCCAGGACAGAAGCCTGAAAGCTAATTACTGAAAGCAGGGAGTGTGCTGGAGGAGGCAAAGCAAGAATCAGTGGAGTGTGTAGATTGTGTGTATGTGTGCAGCTCTACCTTAACCTTGATCTCTACTCGACTGTGAGAGAACTTCTCTATTACGCTCTCAATCCATATTAGAGGCTTCACCTGTCAGAACACAGGAGTGACAGAGAAAAGAATAGAGCAGTAAGTCTGTTGCCACTTATTGAGCCACTGACTTGCCTTTTTGACATGTAATCTTCTTAAATAAATTAAATACAGTAATACTTCCAACAGCATAACATCATTTCAAAATGTAATATTACAATATAATCCATTATATAGAATATATATTTGTGTGTGTGTGTGTGTGTGTGTGTGTGTGTAGACAGTAAAATTAATTATAGTCAGTATATAGACAGTAATTATAATCTTAAAAAATGCATTTCAATTATTCCATTCTACAGCCTGGAGTCAGTACAATTTATTTATTTTATTTTATATTTTATTTTTGGAAAGAAATTAAAACTTTTGTTTATTAATACTTAATAGAAATTAATACTTTTGTCAAGGATGTATGATGTTACAAAACACTTCCTTTTCAAATAAATGCTGTTCTTCTGAACTTTCCATTAATCAAAAAAAAAAACAATAATATTTCACAATATTACTGATTTAACTGTATTTCTTCTCAAATAAACGCAGCCCTTGTGAGTAAAAAATACTTCCTTCAAAAAGGTAGTGTATATATAGTGTCATATATATATATATATATATATATATATCTTTCACATTTAAAAAAATAAATAATTTCCATTTTCCAATGCGAATTTTGTATAAAATGTCTTTAAACGATGAGCAAATTTATTAGTAAAAAAAAAAAAAGATTTATTAGTCAAAAAAATGATGTAACTACTTCCAATTAATTTCCTCACACTGGAAGTGGAATATAAATTTAGATGCTTTTTACAGTATACATAGTATATACTACAAAAATAATAAGAGTAGTACAGTATGCTAGTATGCTATTCAAAACATAACCTTTGTTTCTTGTTTTTGTCTTTTAATTTCAAATTCTTTTCATTTAAAATTCTTTGTATGTTTCCTACTTTGAAGTTCTTGTCTTGTTTTCTCATCATATCCACGTTCTTTTATTCTTCTATGTTTTTATTTAAACAAAGCTCACTGAGACCCCATCATTACAGCAGTACAAAAAAAAAACTAAAAAAATACTTAACTATGTTACAAATCAATCAGTCAATAAACACATGAATTAATCACATAAACTGATTATTAAGACATCTGCCTTTGACAAAATACGTCTAAACTCATTGATCGAAGAGTTGTATACATTCAGCACTGACCGTGGTGTTGAGTCTGTAAGACATTAGTTCAGATTCTCCATCAGGTGGGATGAAAGAGATAGTCCTGTCGTTCTCAAAGCGAGAGAGACGCACACACTGATGAAATTTAACATCTTCTAGCTCCACAGACTTGCTCTTCTCTCCTGAGAGAAAGTGAAACAGAAGCCCAGAGAGAGCGGGGTGAATTCTAATATTAGAAAAGTGGTCACTGATGATTATAATATGTGTAAAGCTAGTGAATCAAGTTGAAAGCTGCACACACACATCACATATTCACACACAGAGCGTAATGTTTCCTGGAAATTGCAAACAATAGCACTTCTGTGCACCCAGGTAAGTGTGGAGGTAGTTTATTTGTTTGACCTCAGCAAAGGGAAAGGCAGTGACTACAGAAGAGCTTCTTAATGACTCAGGGCCTCTGAGCCACAAAACTCACTAATACCAGAGAGCTGTGGGATTTCAGCAGCACACTCACAGCAGCAATGTGTGCGTGTGTGAGCCTCCCTTTATATTTATGAATGTATTCCACTCCATCCAGGAGTGACATTTACAGTGGAACATGAAAGAGCTCTCAGAGGTTTGAGCTGGAACACAGAGGTCAGATCAGAAGCTCTGGGTGTCTGTGTGCTCTGCCGCAGATGAGACCTGCTGGGAGCCGCTGCAGCACCTACTGATGACATCAACCGCGGGGACTAAAGGTCAGAGAGGGGTTAGGATGCTCTCTTATAGCTCTCTGATTGGCTCCCCAGAGTCCACAGGCAGAGACTTCAGGGAAAGTGGTTGGTGTTGAGAAGCAGATGTATACTTTTAGGTACACACATACATATTTATATATATATATATATACATATACATATTTACATAGAGAGAGAGAGAGAGAGAGAGAGACTATAATGTATGTATGTGTGTATGTATGTATGTATACTTCAGCATCTCTTTGAGTCCTAAAGAGGACATGCAGTTTAGAGAATGTATACCGTTTATACACACACATATATATATATATATAGTTTATCATGTGTGTATGTATACTTCATCCCTGATCAGTTATGTTATTGTAAATTAAAACTATTCAAAATAGTTGTTGCTAACTGAAAGTAGAAATAAAAGTAAATATATATTAGATGAAAAATTTGAAATGCTGACTTGGGAGCTAATTAAAATAAAATAAGTTGAAGTTAAAAAAAAATCTATTTTATAAAAATAAACATAAAATGACCAAAGAACAAAATTATTATAACTTTAACTAAAATGACCGAAACCGAAAAGACAAAACAAATGCTAGTTCAAAATATTATATTAATATATTATATTCATAAAAATTATGATAGTATAAAATAAACAATTTTAAAATAACAGATTAAAATACTCCACAAATATTCCATTTGTGACTTAAAATCCATGCATCACAGGGTTGAAATGAATGAATAAATTAATTAATAAAATGTAACTGATCACTTTATAATGTGAAAATGTGTCATATCAACATTAATATTATTACAGAAAAAAACGATTTTTGTTGTCCTCTTAATGTCTGATAACTGAATCTTCACCATAATAAAATCTTGCATTTTCAATCTTGAGTCTGTGGAGGGCAGTGTTTCACTTGTCTAATTCTCATTCTACTGCTGAGCTGAGAAGAGATATTTCTTCAACTGATGCAATAACAGTATGGCACCTTCTACCTTCAGCTGTGTTTACAATAGTTCCCTCTCATAGGTTCACTTCAATGCTGCGATGACGTCATCGCTATGGGAACACCTCCGGTGTGACGAATGTCTGAAGCCCTTATACCATCACGCCAATTTATTGGCCAATTGCGCTTAGCACCGCCCCAAGCATACGTCACGTATGCTCATATTAGGGATATGCCGGTATCAAATTTTCATGTTGCGATTAATTGCTAATGCTTTTATCACTGTATACGGTATTATCACGATATTGAAATTTAGTTTTAAAAAAAGTGCTGTCATAATACAGTATAACAGGTTTAATAACATTTTTCTTATAACAAAAATAACTGAACATTTAAATGCAATAAAGCAATACAGAAATATAAGGGTTTACTCTTAGTTTTTTCTGTAATTTAATTACAGTTACTTCTGATGTAATTACATTAAATACTGTATAGAACAATAGTGGATTTAACATCAGAATGTAACATAATGTTAAAATATATGTTTTTAATGTAACCTTCTCCCTTTAAATACTTTGGTCAGTTCAAGAATAATTTATGC